ATGGCGTGCAGTGCCCAAGTCCTTGTCAGCCTCATTGAACAGTTATATGACAATGCCACGTGTCAGGTGATCCACAACGGGAAAATCAGCGAGGTGTTCAAAGTGCATACAGGAGTAACACAAGGCTGCCTATTATCACGATGATATTCTTAATTGTGGTAGACTGGATTATGCGTCAGACTGTGCGTCGGGAGAGAGCAGATAGGAATACGCTGGACCACCGATAATAAGACTCTGGAAGATCTGGATTTATCAGATGATCTATGCCCAATGTAACACAATCTCGAAGACTTACAGGAGAAAACAAACAAACTCGTTGAAGATGCAGCGAAGACGGGATTGCAAATGAATAAAGAGAAGACAGAGGTTGTGAAGATACCCCAGCACCGACAGCAACAGCAGCCAGCACCAATCATTATAAACGGAAGAGATGTGACCACTTATTTAGGAAGCATGGTTTCAACCACAGGCGGAACGGATGAAAATGTCGAAACCAGATAGAGACGCCCACATCAACCTCAAACCAGATTAGAAGTCTCACTCAGCTAGAATAAACAACAAGATACGGATTTTCAACACAAATATCAAGTCAGTCACATCTTCTATACGGGTCACAAACTTGGCCTGTGCGTCACCAAAAACCATTTCCAACAGGCAACTGTAACTTTTATCAACAGCTGCCCCCTTTCGCTGGCTGGTTCCATACTGAAGATCAAATGGCCAGCCAGCCAGCCAGCCAGAAACAATTAGCAACAAGAAAGTAAATCGTCAGTGCGAATGTGACATGGAGGAGATCGTGTGAGTTTGAGCAGAAGATGAGAGATTATGGGTAATCGTCAGCCAAGCCAAAGAGGATAGCAGAAAACAGAACAAAGTGGAGGTGTGTAGATGAGACTCTATGTTCCACTCGGAAACCCAAGGGGAACAATAATAATTATAATAATAATATAACTAAATAACTAACTGTATTAGGCGTTATTTTCCCACTTACCTTGAGACAAATGCACTGGAATAAATTGAAGAAAAAGAACACACTGATAGATAAGCAAATAAATAATAAAATTCTGCTAAGATGTTGTACTGAAATGTATATTCCACTTGTTATTAGAACTGTAGACAATTTAGCCAGTGTTCTGTTTTGTTTGGTTGACAGTAGGAATGATTTATCTTGAAATTTATATGTTTTTTTTTTCAAGTCATAATATATATATTGTCATGCAGTGGAACTGTACACTGTTTGGCTAATAAATAACTAATTCAGTATCCAAGGTGGGATCAGTAGACAGACACCTTACACTGAAAGGTATTATGCAACACTGTAAAAATATGTAACAAAAAGTAATTAAATTATTATTTAGTGGCATCAAATGAAATTCTGATTTCGTCCTAGCATTTTGTTTTTCTGGCCTATCAACCATGCCAGTGATTGTTACACTGTAGATAAACAGCTTTGGCTACGGATTGATATCAGACAGAGAAACATTGAAAACCAGCACTGGAGACCTGGATAGATGTTTCAACCTAGTTTCGTCCTCATCGCAGGTGCATATTCGCCGGGTTTTTGACCCAGGACTTTCTGCTAACCAGTCGAACTCGTAGACTATTCAGCCGTTGGGAGACCCAACTCAACGGCTAGTGAATTCTGACCTTTACCAATTTGTGACTAGCACCCACCCCATGTCACCAGCGAGAATTTTTCCTCACAACGAACAGGATCAACCCCACTGGTTACGACTTCTCTGTAGAATCTCAGACAACTTAATCCTGTAGCCAGTCAATATCGGGTATCGAATTCATTTTCAAGGATTTGATTTGTTCAAAAGTTTTGACGTGAAACAAGACAAATCGCTTAAAGTTAACTCTTGAATAGGGTACTTACTTACTTTACTTTGGCTATCTCCTACGGGAGGATGAGCCGGCTTCATGAACATCTCCAATCATCGCTGCCCAGGTGCGGCGATCTGATGCAAGGTTTTGCGACAGGGTTATCCAATTCTTGTTCCACAGACGGAGTCCGTAGAAGGTTTGTAGCCCCAGGCACTCCATATCAGCCTTGACTATACGAAGCCATGTTTTCAGCTGTCCACCCCTGCGAAATCGCCAAGATGGTAATGGCGAGGGATTTAGAACTGATTTGACCAGATCGTCATCTGGTCGGCGCAGAACATGGCCAAACCACCAAAGGCGAAGTTGTTGGACCAGTATTGGAGAGTTCATGAAGCTTCATGGGAATTTGGTACGAGTGATGTCCCCAGAATCGCTCGGCCTTTCGTTTGAGAGTGCAGCTCTAGCCTTTACACAACCAAGTGTGACCTACAAGGCAGTAGGAGTGGAGTAGGGAGTCCACTATCCATTGGCAGCCGGTGACTGGAGTTCGGTTCATACGCCTTTTTGAATGGGGCCAGAAATTCAGGACATCCAACAAGCCCTTTGTCCATACGTCTTCCGGTGAGCTCCAGTGAGCTTCATACGCCAGTCGTTGGAGGTTTGGAATCAGAGTTTAGCCATCTCCCCTAGACTGTCATCCAATGGATAGTCAACCCGGTGAACAGCGCCGGGCATCCTCTTTCGCCCTCTCACTTTGGTGAAAAACACCTCCGCCACGTAAAGGCAGTGAGTACGACTTCCTCAGGAGAGGCTATGTTAGACGTTCGGTTATATGGGAGCATTTCAAGAGGTGTGCGGAAGAGTGGCCAACCCGCAGCGCAAGGCACCCACCCCCGACCATCCTGAGGCTTTGGATAGCTGTGTTACAGCTGGTGTATAGGCACTACTTTGGGGATATTTCCGGCTTAAATCCAGTATTTCTGCTCTCTGACAGATGCATCACTTTTGATATAAATCACCACTACAACTAAACTATTCAGAGCATAAAACTGAAATCTTAATTAGACATCATAACTCCTAAAATGGATGATTATTCATGGACAGTGGATACTGGGAATTGTCTATTCGTATCATTCCCTTATTTCATTGCCAGCACCTGATAAAGTCACACGAACACACACTGATACAGTGTGAATAATACTGTATCCCTGTGTGATTTTACCAAATAAATTTACTCTATGATGAAATTTCCAAATTTTCGCCAGGAATTCCTACATGAAAGTATGAAATTCACATCACTGTCAAGAATTAATGTGTAGGGATTTGCTTTGTCTCAAGTTTGCCCGTAGATTGATATTGATTAGAGAACTACCGACAGTTGTAGACTGTTTCCAACTAGTCTGAGACTCATCGGCACCCAATGGGGTTGGAACCCAGTTCTTTCCAGTTACAGGGTAAGCTTTTATATCATAAAAAACCATATTCTATCCTTTCACTAAGTTTTATTCAAGAACAGATTGGTAATTTTCTCAAGCCTTTTGCAAAATTTAAACTTTTTCAGATGGCGGCAATAAAGACACATCATACTTATTCATTTCTGTTTAACTGTATCCACCTAAAAATTTCTGAAAGTTTGAGCAATGGTTGCGCTGAGGCAATAGGCATTTTCAGTCTTGTTTGCAGTTATCGTTGTTAGGCAGTACAGACCATTTCTGTGTTGCTGATCACTGAGATATCACTGTTATTATAATGGTTTATCTGACCCAGTCTGACACAAATAAAGATGTCTTGATTATGTGACCATTTTCTGACACGCCTGAATCTTCAGCACTTATCCACAGGAACTTTCAATCTACCCTTCTCATACTTTATGAAAACTCACCTACGTTTCATCGAATCATGTTTACGAGACTTCATTCATTGTAAACACATTGTAAACACTTAAATTCTCAAGAGCTGGTTTGTAAGGATTGGATTTGTCAGTTAGAGAACCATTGAAAACCAGCAATGGAGTCCTGGACAGCTGTTTCATCCTAGTTTTGAGAATCATCGACAGTACGCACCCACCGCCAGCGTATGAACACAGGACCTTCCGGTTACAAGGCAAGCTCATAGACCATTCAGCCTCTGAAAACCGAATCAATGGCACATGAATTCCAACTTCTACCTATTCATGATTTAGCACGACCACCAACCAGTATCATCGGTGGGACATCCATCCTCACTCTAGTGAGTGCTTACTGCCGATGATTTTACCAAACTAGGATGAAACAGCAGTGCAGTACTCCCTGGTTTTCAATGTTTCTCTAACTGAACGATGACACACACTATTATCTTGTATACGGTATCCATTACTGCATTATTATAGCAGTCTGTAGGGAAAGGTGAAATTTCTTACAACTAGTTAAAAACCTCTGGTCTTGCATACACTCCATCACTTTACTGTCAAGCCATCAGTGGAGATTTTTTTTCCCACTAGGCGGAAGGAATCCTTTCCCCCTTTTTATCCGTATTCAACAGACCACACTCTTTTAACAACAAGCGAAAGTCAGTGTTGTTGAATTTATCAGACCTTGGGTACACTTTCAGTTTTTCTTTTTTTTGCAAACAGCTGTTCAATAGCACGCATTAGTCTGTTAATAATAATAATAATAACAATAATACTTTGTAAAATTTACTTCCTGAAAATAATTTCCAGTGTTAAATAAAAAACATATGCTTACACACACTCTCTTATTAGACACCTGTTTATTTATTACTCAATGTTCATGTTATCAGATTTATATATATATATGCAGTTTGTACATGCTCTCCATATTGAAAGTTTCATATCTATGTGTCTATATGTACGCTTGTGCGTGTGCGTGTGTATGTTTATTTCTATGCGTATTTACAACATGTACAATTTACGTCGAACCCTTGATTCAAGTTACTAATCACAGTGAACTCTGCTCTTCCATACATATGTATGTTAAGACTTAGGAAAGATAAGCATTCTTAACACAAGTGAATGATTTTCAGGCTAAGGATTTGTTTAATCTTGTGCACGTGTCATATATTTATGTGTTGACTACCTACTTACATTTTAGCTTTGAATCTATTTCCCTTTTTTTTAAAAATCCACTCACATTGTATACTCCTGTGTTTTACTTTCATTTCCTTTTTTTTTGAAGGTGTCTATCAAAACTTCAACTGAGTAATGTACATACAAGTGACAGTGCTAATTACACTTGTGTAGCGGAAAATTTAAATGGAGATATACACAAATCAGTACAAGTGATTGGTAAGTGCCCCCCCCCCCCGCTTATTTTTTTGCTCCTTATTAACTAACATCTCTGTCTGTACGTGACAATCTTTTTTAATTTCATAAACAAGCACTGTAGAAGAAGGCAGTGTTCATTAGGTTGCCAAATACACACATGATGCTGCTTTTATAGAAATAGTTATGTGAAAAAAAAAAGGCGTAGGCTTAAGGTATCTATCTCAGTGACAATTGGTGGTTTATGGATGATTTAGGTCATATGTCATACAAACTCAAAGGTGTACAAGCAAAAATCAACAACATGGCTGAAGATGCAGCAACGAAGATTAAAATTCACGTGACCCCATAGAAAAAGGAGGTGGTGAGAATAACCAACCAACAAGAGCAACAACAAATACCAGTCACTATCAATCGAAGAAATTCGGAAGACGTCACTTCCTTCACTCATCTAAACACAATCCTATCAACTACACTCACACGACATGCATAACAACATCGAAACCAATCACGATTGGGAACGGAAGACAGACATTGCGTCGGTGGCACAGTGGTTAGGACTCTCGCCGACCATGCACATGGTCCGGGGTTCGATCCCCTACCGGCGCACACCCGATATCTATGGTCGGCCTGAATTTGGGCTACCGATATCCATGCTGAAAATTCCACACTTGTACTGAAAATACGGTGTGGAATCAAGCTGTAAATCAAAATAAAAAAATAAAATCTGAAAGCGGTGTGGACATCTTCTTCACTGAGTATGAAGAAGAAGAATTTAATTTTGAAGATGAATGTAAAGTGAGTCGATTGTTCTATATGGGTGAAAGATTTTTCCAGCGTGTCACGAAAAGCATTTCGAATGGTCTTCTGCAAACTTCTGTCAACAACCGCTTTCTGTGGAGCAATACTGAATATCAGATGACTGGTTTGAGAGTGTTAACAACAATACACTTTTAGAATGAACCAATCAGGAACTCATTGCTCAACATATAAGTTGTATAAAACGGAGATGGACTGAATACACGCTGAGGCGACCATCGAATGACATCACGTGTTAGCTAGGCCATTACTCGAGTGGAACCCGAACTAGAAACCACTTCCTAGACTGATATTAAAATGAATTAAACTCCTTCTGTCATTTGAATGTTATTTCCTAAAAAAACAGTATGAGTACTACGCTAGTCAACCCTACTATCCTTTCATTAAAACTTGTATGCATGAGTTTGTTCTTAAAAAGATGTCAGGCAAAATGTCAGAGTATCTTGCTTCAGTTTTGATTTTCACACTAATTGACTAGACCAAGATTTCCAGCCTCTACTAACATGTCAGCTTCTTAACAAACCATAATAATAATAATAACTGATGCCAGCTACACAAGACATGGGTTTTATGGCCTAAGTGACACTTGAAACCATGCGTCCTGGGTTCGAGTTTCACTGGGAGCAGTATCACTCACTTGGAGATGGTGGTACGTCCAACTGACGAGTCCCAAATAGGATTAAGTGTGCCACCTGGTTTCCACTGCCAGGCATCACTCACCAGAATAACACAGCATCATACCCAAACTTCCCTCTTTATTGCGCTTACTATCAGCTAAGGGACGACTGGGAGTGCACTGGGCGGGAATGGAACCACGGACCAAATGCTTGACCATCGAAGCATTACTAGCTCTAATGCTGGATGACAGCTACTTTCACCAACAGCCATTTATATCTGACACTTCTCATTTTCACTGACTTTGGACAACTTCCAGTGTCTGGTGCAACTGTGATAGGGTCACAGGATTCATCACAAGATCTGTGGGGATTGTTATAAGAAGAAACAACTGAAATTTTGTCGTACACGTGATTTCGAAATGATCAAGGCCCAATTGATTTTTAGTGACACTTGTAATATGAAGAATTCACTGACGGCTGACAGGTTTAGATTGGCCGAAGCGGATCATATGAACTATGAACAAATAAATCCAATTCACATCAAGAGAAAATTTTCAAGTGCTTATTCTAATCATTAATAAGTAGTTTGATATTTTTTGGTAGTTTGGTAAAAGGGGGCTCCTTCTTATCCCAATTGTATATCCCTGCGATAAATATCAAGATTGTGAAACTGAACTAGGGTACTTAAATTTACGTTTACGTTGTGCATGATAGTATTCTGAATTCCAATTATTATCAGATAGCTAGAGGAGACCGTCAGGAAGCCATGTGCGTAGATTTCGTGCCTGTCGGCACTCACCCATCAGCAAGATGTATCTACAACCTTCAAGGAACCAATGTCCCTCTGAGATGCCAACTCATGTCACCCTGTGCTGTAGTTAGAGACCTTACCACTGAACTATCTGGACTGACGACCGTCCTCATGTAGGACTGTTTAGGATAGCTTGGTTGGACACTAGGCAAAAAGTGAATTGCGTGATACGTCTAGTCTTTTGTTTGGTGCAGAATGAATTCTACAAGTCAAGTTATATAGTGAAATTTCAAAGATTACGACGACTTTTTAAATTCATGAAAAGATAGAAAATATACTTTCAAGAAGGAATTAGACTGGAAGGCACAAATATAGATAAAGTATCTCATTTCAGTCTGTTTTCGAGAATTGTTTGTCTACAATGCATAGGTGAAAATATCCAGTAAGTCGAAGGAGCCTTTATCCTGCTGGAACTATAGAAATCTCGTCGTTACAGAATCATCACTTCAAGTGACGGGTATTATGATAAAAAATTTTCAGTTGCTCATTCCAGGTGTTTGAGAAGAACTCCTTTACGTTCCAAGTGGAACAAATCGCTGCCAGATAGAGCTCTGAAGCTTCGGTAGCAGTTGACCTATTTCTATCCGGTGGGGTTTCTAATCTCACATCTAACATTCCCTCTTTACCTACCTTACTACCGGCCAGAGATCGAGTCCTACAACACATGCGCGGTTGGTGGTGGATTTTAACTCTGAACCACCGGTGCATAATTTGATCAATAAACATGTATCTTTGTGTTTGTTAACGTGGAAACGACCTTGAGAAGGGATTCCACCAAAAAATAATCCTTCTTTATATTCACAATATTAGAAGGTCAAAGTTAACTAATTTATAATAAGAATTTGTGTTTGTTTTTATCCTGTCATTTAGTGAGACCGACAACTACCCTACCACCGCCAACAACGACAACAACCAATTCGTTTGTCACACCAGAGGTGACCACCGTCGTCCCAGGTATGTCCGAAGTATTCAAGTGATTTTTTTTATACTTCAGATGTGTAATGTCTTGTAAAACAAAAATCTGCACTTAAGTGTCACATTCTAACTGATAAAAGTCGTTATGATAAGTACAGAGAAAGGTACCCATCCAGACATGAATATAAGAACAGTGAAGTTCATCGAAGGGTCTCTTTTCGGAGAATTCATTCCGTTATATTTACAATCGCATTTATACATACATAATTATTTTGTGTACATTAGGATTTTCAAACAAAAATAAAATAAACATTAGTTAGGGTTACTGTCTACGTCATCAAAACCTTTCTTAAATGTCATGAATAATCAAAATTGCAACTAGGGGTGTGTGTGAAGATTGGTGAGTATTGACAAGGTTTGCATAATTTGAAATAGGATGTTAATGGAGACACGTGTTCAAAACATAAATTATGCAATAGGTAGAAAGAGTAAATAAAGGGTTGGTTAAGAAGAAGACGTTACTAAGATGCCATACACAAATTCAAAAAACAGTAAAAATAAAACAAAACATTATCGTAGAATTTGGAATTATACCCAAGGTAGAAGGAGCGGGTGGAGAAGTTTCTTCTGTGTGCATAAATCAGGGTTTTCTATCCGGATCACTAAGGCCTCGGCAATGCAAAGTATACGGAAGCTTACCGTTTTCGGCAGGCCTCTTTTAACTTCGTCGATGACTTTGAATGAATTCTCTATGCATATTGAGTCATCAGTGTTGAACAGATGTCCAATTATAGCACTCTTTATTGATCCACTGTTACTTTTTCGTAATGTTCCTTGACTCTATCAAATAAAACACGCATCGATCGACCTATATATCTCGCTCCACATGAACAAGTGAATCGGTAGAGACATAGACACATAGAAGTGGTCATTTACGGTAGTTTATCTTTAGAGTTGTTGAAGTACAATGGATGGCACAGCACGGAATGTTCTTTTCAGGGCGTTAGATATTCTTTTCTTCAGGGTGTCGGCCAGAAGGTCGTCTTTCAGTGTCACATTCATGTATAGCATCTTCTTTGGCACAGAGATGGGTTGTTCTTTGTTGATTTTCAGCTTTATGTGGTTATCTATAAAGCGTGGTAGATGCACATTCGCAAGTAGTCTTCTTCAAAAGAGTGATCTCCTCTTCTACTGATTTGAGGCTGACAATCCAAATGTATACACACACACACAAAATAATTATTTATAAATGCGACTGTACAGCCGAAAAGTAACTCTTCGATGAACTTTGTTGCTCTTATGTACAAAGAAAAGGGTTTACAAAAGCACTGACGCAGATAAATTAGAGCTGTATTCACTTAAACTCTTATGAGCTGGGATCAAGATATTTACATAAATATTATCATAATGTAAGCCAGTATAGCTTCACCTGTATTTTTAGCAAATTTTGAGATGTCTGTACAATGTTGGCATTTAATGGTTGAGAAATCGCCATCAGCAGTCAAATAACATTATTATTATTATTATTCTAATGGGTTCCGAGTGGAACATAGGGATTCAACAACAGCCCTCTTTGGCTTGGCTCACGATTACCTATAATATCTCATCTTCTCCTCAAACTCACACGATCTCCTCCATGTCACTCATTCTCGCACTGACGACTTACTCGTCGTTTCCCATTCGAGTTCCACTCGAGCAACCACCTGCACTGTGCGCAGCAACATCTGACGGTCTCCACGCAGTGTGCCCAGTGCACCTCCATTTTCCTCTACATATCTGATGAACGATGGTTTCTTGGTTGGTTTGTACTCAGTCAGAGTTTATTGTTGCTTATTCTTTCCGGCCAGCTGGCTGGCCGTTTG